GAATGAACGAATGAACAAATTGACGTATGAACGAATGAACGAATGCACGTATAAACGAATGAATGTATGAACGAATGAACGAAGAATGAACGAATGAAATAATGTGGTTTCTGAAGATCAAACGATAGAGAAATACCACCGCAGTTCATTGGGGTAAGATGAAACTACTTTAATTCTACATTTCTCTCATTTTTCAGGTAGCCATAGTTGTTCCCTTCAGGGACAGACAAGAACACCTTAACATATTTGTAAGACACATGCACAAGTATCTCCGATGGCAAATGTTAGAGTACAGAATCTTCATTATAGAACAGGTAAAACCGGGGGATAGGCCTCTCCCGACTGTACTCGTATGGCGGGCAGATACATTGTAACAGGTGACTCATGTTTAGTCTCCCTCGCAAAAGTTGTTTGTTTCGTCAAACGACGAAACCCCCCCACTCCAAGTCCTCGTAAAGCAAGGAATAAGCAGCATAAACAAAGAAGTTTCTAGTTTTTATCTTTTTTTTCATGCAAAACTTAAACTTTGACTTAGCTGAGAACTAACATGCGTTTATTTTCCAGGCCGACAACGAGCGTTTTAATCGTGGAATGCTAATGAACGTTGGGTTCAATGAAGCCATGAAGGCGGATAACTTCACTTGTGTAATATTCCACGATGTGGATCTGATCCCAGAGGATGCCAGAAATGACTACAGCTGTCCCTCATCTCCACGTCATATGTCCACTGCTGTGAGCCGCCATGACTACATGTTAGTATTCATGACAGAAGGGTTTTTTGTTCAGTTTTTAGGTTTTTGTTGTTAATAGCCTTATAGCTGATCCTTTGCAGTACCCTAATAAGAGTGATACCACAGCAAATCAGATTTAAAATAATCATACCGAGGAGCCAATGATAAATCAAGGTAAATGAAGTGTGTATATGAAAGCGCGGGAAATATGACCATCTCATTGGTAATTGAATGGAGTGATATTTCTTGACCAATCACATGGTCGAAAGGTAAAACTAAGATCCAAGGCCACGCTTTAGACCGATACGAAACTAAAGCAGGGTGCGTCATTCTGGTTTTCGGATTTGAGAATCAGCTGTTTTGGAAGTTTTGAGATTTCTGAATTAAGTTTTGTCCAAGGTTGAAATCTGTTTCCTTTTGCCAACACAGATTAAAGTACAAGACTTTGTTTGGTGGTGTTGAAGGTTTTTGGGTCGAGCATTACCGCCGGATCAATGGATTTCCAAATCGCTTCTGGGGTTGGGGAGGAGAAGATGATGATTTGTATGTCAGGTTCGTAAAAAGGAAAAAATTAAATTCAAACAACACATTGTTATATTAAAGTTAATCAGCTCCGCCCACGCTCCTTTAAATCGTAATGATGGCGGCTTACTACCTGACGCCTATTTACACCTCGTCAGAAAAAAAGGACAGCTAATTTGTGGGCGTATAAAAGGACCTGTCGTGACAGCGATCAGATCGCTCCTGATGAAGGCACTAGACAGGGATGTCGAAACCTTGGGTCTATGAATTGTAACTTTTCGGTTACATTCATCAAATCTTTAAACCAGAGTAGCGTCAAACCATGTCTGAACACATTGTTACTAGTCAGGTTTACGGCTAGTGACGTCACCACCATTCTTTACTCTACCTCATGTCTAGTATTGCAAGAGTGGTAGAAATATCAAACTCAAGCACACTGTACCACCTTGGATTTAAAATTTTTAAACTTGCTTCAATGTTCATGTTTCCTATTAAGAATCACAGAAAAGCGCCTGAGTCTCACTCGACCGGCTCATATGATTGGTCGATACACCATGCTGAGTCATTCACACACAGAAGGAGAAGAAAATCCTGAAAGGTAGGGATAAATACACCATATCACGGTTTAACATGTAATAAGTACAGATATTTTGCGAGTTACGTGGTATTTTTCCGATCGAGCCATGAGCAAAATGTCCGTTCGTATTTTATGTTAAACCATTGAATAAGGGATTTATTGATGTACTATTATTTCGTTTTCAAGTATTTTGGCTTCTAGTTCGAAATACATCCTTCGGTCTTACTGAGCATAGATCGAAATTTAGCGAAAGACGAGAACAACACAACCGAAACCATTTGAGTTTTTTTTATGACTAACAGGAGCTCAGCTTTCCGTCGCTATTTTCCCCTGTTCTACGGTGTAATACAGTGACATATTTGCGCGTTCTGATGCTCCCATGTGGTAAAATGGCGTAGTAGTGGAATGAAAAAATGTGTTGGTAACCGCTTATAAACTTCTCTGTCGAAATCTCACAACTTAAGGGCATCTCGACTGCTTGTTGCAAAACAAAATCGAATTAAATACAACAGCCAATCAGAACACAGGAATAATTCTTACAAGGAGCTACTTACAAGGAGAACTTTAACCCTTTAACTCCCAAAGATCTGATTGTTAATTCTCCTCTCTAGCTGCTGCACATTTCCTTTTAAATAAGTTACAAGAATTTGGTGTTAGATCAAGAGAACAACCTCCACCTGATAATTTTGGATATTCTCATTAGCTATTTGTTGTATAATATATGGATATTACAGGGAGAAGTTACTTGCCAATCACCTCTGAGAGCTAAAGGGTTAAGAGAGACTAAGATGCCTGAAGCGCGGAAATGCGAGAGGCCAATCATGGTATTTCGAAGTTATTTTTCTTTGGAATAATAATAGACCAAACTAGGCCTAATCCCAAATTCCTTTAACCACTTAACTGAAAATTGAAACTGCTCTATCCAAACTAATTTTGAAATAAAGGATTGGAAATCATAAACAAGAATTTGAAATTTGAACTTCACTTCGCGATTGTTATTTATCTTTTTTTAACAGGCATGAGGAACTTCGTAGAAGTGAGGTGCTTATCGATACGGACGGATTAAACACGCTCGCATACACTGTGATAGAATTCCAGGAAAAGCCGTTGTACACTCTGATATCTGTATCACTCCAATAGGATAGAACGAAATGGAAACAGTCGACGACGTACCATGCTAAGCCAGAATTCGCTGTTCTGTTATCTTCCTCAACAGCAAAGACCGATAATTGCCTCCACGTTGTGGTGGTATTAAATACAGAAAGTGACTGACACTTTTTTCGAAGTTATGCAGCCGCTGAAAGGATTTTTGAGAAGGAGCGTGGGTTCAGCTATTTTCAAATGGTCATAACTCGCGTCTCATAATAAGACAACACAATAGTTTTGTCATCTTTTTTCTTTCTTTTTCGCGTCTGTTCTTTGTTAGTGAGATGAATTTCAATAAAAGATTTTTCGACTTCGTTGTTTTTAGTAGGTTTTCCATCTCAGCTTACAGGAACGAACAGTAAGGACAAAACGTACCTTTCGCCAACTCCCCACCCTGATCATAAAATAACATTCAAGAGTTCCCCAATCGCACAACAGGTCCTTTCAATCCCAGGACCCAATTAGTAATTCTCCCCTAATGACAATGTGGGTTATGGTCTTCCAAAATAACGCCCCCAGCTGATAAGCTTGTCTGTTCTCATAACCTGTTTACAAGATAACTTTGAGAACTGGAAAATTAACTGGTTAATCACCTCTAGGATGTCTTCCCGTCCCACGTCAATGTTATACAATGGCGCCCTTGAGAGTGTAAGACCATGTGCTGTTGCCATTCCCCCCACACCTCAAAACATTAGACACGTCGTCACCTTTCGCAACACGGTACAGTGACCCAGACATCATTGAAGCACCCACTCAAAAAGTTACAATCTCGTCTTTTAAATTCCTCGTTAAATTTATTAACAACTCTTCCACTACTATAGTGATTATATGTAAATACCGTAAAATTACACCCCTGGCTCGTTCATAGTTACCCTCACATTTGAAGAAGGAATCTCTATCCAGGATCAATCTTCCGCTCTTCAACCAAAGATTGCGCCACGGTTTCCTCATTCGTAATATTTTTCTTTGTACACATCTTTAAGAACAGATCTCAACCCTTTCACTCCCACAAGTGACCGAGAGAGAATTTCTCCTTACAATATCAAGTAGGTAGGTGACGAGAATAAAAAAATATTAATTATGGGATTAGTTGATCCAATACCAAATTCTCAGAACTAACATCATAAGAATTGTATGGCAGACATTAAGGAGAATTATCAATGAGATCTTGGGATTGAAAGGGTTAATACCGTCCCCTTACTTGCGACCCACCCAAACAAACGAAAAGGATTTCTTCTCGAAGAAAATAGAAACCTATCAATATAACTTATTTAAACAAAAATAGACAACTCTGAAACTATTCAGTGATGATACATAAGCCATATGTAGCCTTCAAAATCCCAGGCTAAATGACAAATCTCCTCGCGTTGGGGGTGCATCATTCTAAATCATCCTACGGGAATATATCTCTTAATAAATTCTAAGTTTTAATTTCGCTTACACGGACCTTTCTCCTATTTCTTGTGCTGCATTTCATAATTAACTACAACACAAACGGTGAGGAGGAACTGTACATACAACATATTGAATAGTGCTGTGTGTTTGAAGCTACTGAATAAATATTTTTACATCTGGGGTCGTTTTTTCTTTTCTTAACAACAAAACAAACCATGGTAAAACAAACTGCCATGGTATGCTGTGGCATGTTGCACTTCTCTTCCCTCCCGTGTAACAATAGGCCTCAGTAGAGTCTGGCTGTGTTGGAGTGAATTTGGTACAGCTCCTGCTGACAACCAGCACATAGGCGTTGTCGCCTGTCAATTGGGACGCATCGGCATTTCTCGCAAACCGGCCGATCAGTAATGACTCGCGCCGGTATTTGCCGAAGGTCTCGAGAAGTGTTTGTGTATGAATCGTCGGTCGAACCCGATTGGAACCACGGTCTCGATAAGGATGATGTGGAATAACTTTTCAGATGTTCACGTTGATGTGGTGGATTATATGGAGGGGCGGGTACATACTGGGCAGGCCGCGGACCATAAGAACCACGGGCTCGATAATCACTGTCCATCCCATCCGCAGAGCGTGCGGGCGATGGAGAACGATCGCGAGTTGTCGGGCGAGAGTTCTGAGCTAAATTTCCCACGTAAGACACTTTGTGTCTTGGCCGTGAAATCGATATACTAGGGGGAGCTTTCGGACTGTCGCTACTTCGGTAAGTCTTCGGGTCGTAAGTGTCAACCGTAGAAGCTCTTAAATTTGACGGATTCGACGGTGAAATGTAAATCGAACTTGACACTCGTCTGGTCGGAGGCGGAGGTCGGCGGTTTTCGGAAGTCCTCGTCCTGTTCACGCCGACGGGAATAACCTTGGTATGATCCGTTCTCGGTTCCGGACTCGGAGCGCGAATATCAACGTTCTGAATTCTGGCAGCAATTTCACTCTCTCTCTCTCGCTCGTAATGGACAGGATTGTAGCACAAATAGTCTGGTTTAATTTGCTGCGAGCAAACTCCCGGCCCCATTCCACTGGAGCCGGTTTTGTTCCCTTGAGGTTTGCTGACATAATGTCCACTTGAATACACTGTGGGTTTTGTTTTCAGGGGTAGACTGGTGGCGTTTCGTTCTTCCCAATTGTCTTTACGGTTAAATCTCGAATCCACGTAACTCCCATTACTGGAGGACACGAGTACTTCTTGAACACTACGTGCTGTACCTTGAGCGGATGAGTATTCTCTAACGGGTCGATCCCTTCGTTGGACAGACATCTGTAAAAACGGAATTAAAAGATAAAAAATTTTGAAATGCGTGTCTTCAAAAGCTTCTCTCGACTATCATTGCTCAGTCTCTGAGTTTCCGCGACGGGGAACGGGTGAACAAAAGTGGGGCCTGCACTTGCTCCCGCAAGGGGAAAAAGGAAAACTTCACTACCCCGTATAAAAATTAAGGAGGTGCTCGTCGCTCTTTCTTGAATGTTCAATAAGTGGACTCCAGTACTTGGTTTGCTGACATCTACAAGAGCTGCCGTAAAAGTTGTCACTAGGTCTTTCGAAGGCACAAAAAAAAAAAAAAAAAAAAAAAAAAAAAAA